GCACAGCAAATTGAGAACCCCACGCAGTGCCAGCAAAGCTGGGGCTTCCCATCTTTCTTCTTCTTCAGCTTCGACACGTACTCCCTGCGCTCCAGGAACTCAGCCAACGAGTACAACCGCATCCCGTATCATCACTATCTCCCCAGCCTCACCCTCCCGAGAGGCCGGAATCCGAAACGAAGGCAAGGCCCAAGCTACGCAGAGTGCAACTTTAACGCGTGCCATGCGTTGTGGGTTCGGGTTTGGGGGTTTAGGGTTTGGTTTAGGGTTTCGGGTTTTGGGTTATGGTCCAACAAGAAAGCCCCATATGCCAAGATTAGACGATGGAAGCTGGGGAACCAAGCCCGTCACAATCATGTCGGAAACCTTGGAACTTATGCCCAGGTTCCAGTATGGGATTTTCGATAAAGGCCTTAGGGTTCGGGGTGGAAATTTTGCCACGCTCTGCAATGATTTAGTGCATTAGTGTGTCGAGGTTTAGGGTTTCCGAGAACCTTCAACCCGAACTCCAAATAGACGGATAGTTAAGGGTTCTATAAGGCTGGATTCCTGGCCTTGAGGCGCGCTTCTTGATGTCCAGCCGGTACGTGCCATCCTTGAGACGAAACGGGCAAATCCGGACACAGGGGGCGAGGGGAAGGGGGGGGTGGCCGGGGGCGGGGGCGGGGGTGTGGGGCTGGGGGAGCGGGAGGGGGCGGGCGGGGGTGGGAGGGGGGGGGGGGGGGGGGGCTTGGGGGGGGGGGTTGATTTTGCACTGCCTCGTTGAAGGCAAGCACGGTGGCGGAGACCCAACGCTCAACCTTGGCTCAAACGGGGACCTGAACATACCTGATCGAAGAGAATCTCTTGTCCCTCGGGCAGCAGCCCTGGTGCTCCAGTACTCAACCTTTGCACCGATTGGCAGCGCATCCTCCCGAAGCTGCATTTGCCATGAGTGAACAGAACTCGCAAAAAAAGATGCGGAGGCTCCTCTGCAGGCTGTCTCACAGCCGCGGGTGGCTGGTGTACCGCCTGGCATAGCCCTCTACAACTCATTTCTGCAGGTTTGCCGATCAAATCTTAGAAAACCGCTCTGTGATTGTGTAAACATAAAACCATTCAAGTTGCTAATACGTCTGTTTTGGGTTAGCAGGACTTATAGGACTTACGAACCTATGTACAAGGAGGGTCTGAGTCCTGCCTAAGCTACCTAAGAGTGACCTAAGTCTGTGGAAGTTGGGAAGAGGTTAAGAAATGTTACATAAGTTGCTAAGTTATGTTTAGGGCTGCGGTTTAGGATTTAGGGTTGGGGGTGAGGGTTGATGGAGAGTTGAGGGTGTAGGGTTTACGGTTACGAATTCAGGGTTTAGGATTTAGGGTTTAGGGTTGACTGGAGTGAGGCTCGCAGCCCCAACCCAGCCCTCAACCCTAACCCTCAACCCACAACCCCATCAAGGGGAACCCTATTAACATCAACCCCGAACCCAGAGAAGCCTCAACCCCCAACCCTCCATCCCTCAACCCCCTACCCCCAACCCCAGCCCTACGAGCCAAAGTTTAGGGTTTAGGGTTTGAGGGTTTCAGGCCTCATTGCGCCCACTGTAAGGACCTTACAACCTTAGGTTAAGGCCGAAACTCATAAGAAAATCAACCCGTTCAGAATTCAGAAAACTCAGAAAAATTCCGAATTTTCTGAATTTTGTCCTCTTGTATTTAGTTCTAGAACCACGAAAAACTCAGAAACTTCCGAATTTTTCTGAATTTTCGCGGTTTGGGATTTCGAGTAGTCGGGCTTGATTGAGGGTTTTAGGGTTTTGGGTTTAGGGTCTAGGGTTTAGGGTTTACCATGCATTAAGCTTGCAGTAGATGTCGTATGGGGTCGTCCTTCAACTTCTAAATCGTCTAAAACATCTGGTACGCCTTCCACGCCTTCCACGAAAAACAAAAAAACACAAATCGTTGCTCCCACACGCATCATCCACGTACTCCTGCCTCATCCTCACGCCTCCACGCAAACACGCATACGGCAACCACGCACACACAAACACGCACACACAAAACTAACAAACAACACATAACCAACACAGAAAATTGAGAACCCCACGCATTCCCGGCAAAGCTGGGGTCTCCCATCTTGCTTCGCCGTCGACACGTACATCTCGCAGACCGAGAACTCAGCCAACGAGTACAACCACGTCCCGTATCATCACTATCTCCCCCGCCTCACCCCCTTCCCCACTCCTTTCCCAGCCCTCTGAGACGAGAACGTTGTCACACTGGTACGCCTTCCACGCCTTCCACGAAAAACAAAAAAACACCAAATCGTTGCTCCCACACGCATCATCCACGTACTCCTGCCTCTTCCTCACTGGCGTCTGGCCGTGCAGCAGGGGCCTCCACGCAAACACGCATACGGCAACCACGCACACGCAAACACGCACACACGTACACGCGCCCTCCCACACACATCTTCCAACAATTGCCTTTGCGGCAGCAGACTTAGTCGAGGCCTCCCAAACATATTTGGCAAAGAAAAGATCATTTATTGTTCGTCCTCCAAAGAAAGGCTCTGTGATTAGGACTTCGTCACCTTCTTCACCGGCTTCGTCGCTGCCTCCGTTTGTCTTCCCGCCCCCCACAAAAACAAACATGTTTCCACATCTCCTCCTTCAACCCTCATGGGCATCGAGGGGATGACCAGATGCCCTCCGGGCTTCACCGGCGTTGGCGTATCCGTGGCCGTCGATGTCACTACTTGTGACATCTTGCGGACGCTCCACAGCGGTGCATAGAAGCGAAACCGGGGTGGTGACCCTGATGCAAGGTAGAGGAGTTCCCACTTGTCTCGCTCCTGCCGTTCGGTCTTGAGACCGCTCACCAGGAGTGTGGACCGTGGAAACTTCGGAGCCCGAAACCCTAAACCCCGCAGAAAGGACTGCTGTGCTCAGATACTAAGGGTCTTCGGGGCTCAATACCCTAGCCCAAAAAAAGGGTTTAGGGTTTAGGGTTTAGGGATTAGGGTTTAGGGTGTTACATGTAGGCCTATATACGCTGTTTGGGTGTAGGGTTTAGGGTTTCCAAACAACCAAAAAAGTTAAAGATTACCCAGCCCCTAAGAAGGGTTTAGGGTTTAGGGTTTAGGGTTTAGGGTTTAGGGGCGTGGGTCAGAGATGACCGACGGTGCTTCGAGGGACCCATCCGGCCTCTGCTCCAAGAGTGGCCAAGCCTCATGGTGGAACTCCTTGAGAGCAACTGGCTTAGACATAATCAGGGTTTAGGGTTTAGGGTTTAGTTAGGGTGTAGGGTTTAGGGGTTAAGGCGTAGGGTTAAGGGGCTTAGCGTTTTAGGTTTAGGGCTTAGGGTTTAAGGTGTAGTAGGGCTTCAAGGGGATGTTAGAGTCTCGGCTGTCAAGGGCTTCTCCAGGTTTAGCACCTGATTGTATCCTGGTGGCCCAAGGAACCTTGAAACACGAAAAGGGACGAAAGGGTACCACTGGGCGACCATTGTGTTATCCCTACCTCGGAGTAGAACCTGGAAAAAAAAGGAGATACTTTTTAGGTATAAGTGTATTCAAGTATAGTACTCCAAGATCCAGCATACCCTAAACCCTACACCCTAAACTCTAAACCCTTATCCCTACCTCGGAGTAGAACCTGGAAAAAAGGAGATACTTTTTAGGTATAAGTGTATTCAAGTATAGTACTCCAAGACCCAGCATACCCTAAACCCTACACCCTAAACCCTAAACTCTAAACCCTAAACCCTTATGCCGAGTTTTGTAAAAGGCGTGAGGCTTGCGGGCTGGGTCGTAGGTTTCAGGCTCCGGCGCGTAGGGTCCAAAGTTGGGATGCTCCCCCTTGTTCTAGCAGTCCTGGATAAGGATTATCATAGGGGGGGGGTACTATCATCCTTATTCAGGAGCCGTTAGTAAAAAAGGGCCTGAGGGTTAGGGTAGAGTTTGGGGTTCTAGGCTTTAGCTTAGGGATTTGGGTTTACAGCATAGGGCAGAACATACGCTTCCTGCTGTCTTGAGGGCCTGCTAAACCCTAGGGTTTATATTCGCTCGGCTGCTAAAAACCCTAAACCCTGAGACCTATATATCATTTGAGCCTATGAGCCAAAGTCTGGACAGAGTCGAGGGTCTTCTTGGAAAAGGACGAGCAAGGGCACCACTTGGCGAACTTGTCCGTCGTCACCTACTCAAGCTTGAAGGCTTAAACTAGAGGCTTAAAGGCTTCAAGGCTTCAAGGCTTAAAGGCTTAAAGGCTTAAAGGCTGAAAGGTTAAAGGCTTGAAGGCTTGAAGGCTTGAAGGCTTGAAGGCTTAGGGTCTTAAGGGTTTAGGGCTTTGTAAACTAATGCGTGGGGGTCACGCGTTGAAAGCTGACTGGCGTGCTTTGCTGAGCCGCAAGCCTTGGCCACACAACAGAAATGTTGCTTAGGGGTTTAGGGTTTAAGGTTTAGGGTTTAGGGTTGAGGGTTTAAATTAGGGTTTGCTGTGATAGGGCGTAGATGCTGTGACGGTTAGGTTTCGGAACCAGCTCGACAGCTTCGTGAGGTGCGAAGAGCAGCTTTGGCCCGATTGTGGAGGGCCATCGAACACTTTTCTCCCACCCCACGCCGTCCAAGGCGGCAAAGCCACCCAAACCTATTCCTTTCAGGCCGAAACTCAGACAAAACGCCACTTCTAAAAACTTATTCACCTAATTGCAGGGCCAGGGTAAGGGGGCCAGACAGAGGGCGAGAGGGGCCAGGCAGGCAGGCCAGCAGTGCCAGATCAGGAAGAGGGGCCCAGAGGGGCCAGAGCCCACAAAGGGGGTGGCAGAAAAAACAAAACTGATTTTTGAGCACCCGCCCTGCCTGGCCTACCAGCCCCCTGGTCCCTGGGCACGCTGCGGTGAGGGGTCCGGGACCCCCTAGGCTGGGGCCCTGGGCTCGGTACTACCCACCTCCGACGTGTGGGAGGCGGCGAACGACCTGGGTCGGCTTGCGCCATCGAGGTCGAGGTCAAGAACAAAAAGAGCTACTCATCTTGCAAACTATGCCAAACGACCCATTCGAATTCACTAGGTCACTAAGCCCTGCATGCAACCGCCAAAACCCCAAAAACCTGTCACTCTAAACCCTAAACCCTAAACCCTGTATACACTCAAAACTGACAAAAGCCCAATCTCCTCACGCCGAGCTAGAGTCGCCTAGCTTGAGGGTTTAGGGTTTAGGGTTTAGGGTTTATAGGGTTTCTGAGGTTTATAGGGTTTAGGCTTGGCTTTAAGGGTTCTGGGTCTTGGGGTTTTCGGGTTTTAAGGGTTTCGGGTTTAGGGATTTTAGGGTTTTTGGGGTTTTTAGGGCTTTTAGGGTTTTTAGGGCTTTAAGGGTTCTTATTAACACCCAGGTGCCACAAGCACTTTCGATGCGGTTTAGGGTGTAGGGTTTGGGGTTTAGGGTTTGGGGTTTGGGGTCTAGGGTTTAGGGCCTACGGTTTAGGGTTTTGGGGGTTTATGGCCGAGAAAATCTGCGACGAGCTTTCCCATGGCTACCTTTGCCTTTTGGTGGGGCTGTTTCGGGTTTAGGGTTTTTGGGTTTAACCCTAAACCCTAAACCCTAAACCCTAAACCCCCTTATCGGGAGCGCCTTCCACGCCATGAAAGCGCCGGAGGCTCCACAGCATGACGTCCAGTGCGCGCAGCCACTCGCTGAACCTCTGGGGCTCTGAGGTCGGAGGGGTTTAGGGTTTAGGGTTTAGGGTTTAGGGTTTAGGGTTTAGGGTTTAGGGTTTAGGGTTTAGGGTTTAGGGTTTAGGGTTTGGGGCTTTAGGGATTGGAGGAGGAGGGGGGGGGGGGGGGGGGTTGTCCCCAACTGGGTTTGAGGGTGGTGTTGGGGGGTTGACAGACAACCTAAAATGGCACAAGGGGCCCAAGCCCTAAACCCTAAACCCTAAGCCCTATATAAACCCTAAACCCTAAACCCTAAACCCTAAACCCTATAAGCCCTAAACCCTAAACTCTGTTTTTCCTACCCATCGACCTGTCAGAGTGGGTGGAGTCCTCGCACAGCAGTGTTGCGAACGCGACGGAGCCCATCTCCGGCAGCCTTTGCCGACTCTTGGGGTTTCCGAAGCCCCTATGAAGTTTAGGGTTTAGGGTTTAGGGTTTAGGGTTTAGGGTTTAGGGTTTAGGGGCCGCTAGGCTTTAGGGTCTAGGGTCTAGGGTCTAGGGGTCTAGGGGTCTAGGGGTCTAGGGGTTTAGGGGTTTAGGGGTTTAGGGTTTAGGGGTTTAGGGGTTTACGGGTTTAGCGGTTTAGGGTTTATAAGGGTTTAGGGGTTTAGGGTTGGGGGTCTGGGGTTTAGGGGTTTGGGGGTTGTAAGTTTAAGGTTTAGGGAAGACGGGACCGAACTGGAGGATACCCCTTAAGGCCACCCCATGCAGGAACGCAAAGGTAGTGTGGTTCCCGAAACTCCCTAAACCGAAACCCCAAAACAAATTCTAAACCTGAAAAAGCAACAGTTTCGGCGGCAGCGGCGACGAGAAAAGCTTTGTTCGGAACTGCTCCGCCCAGGGGATCATGGCCAATCCTTTCCTGAGATGCTTTACTTCTTGTGGAAACCCTAAACCCCAAAACCTAAACCGTGCTTGGCGGCGTTTACGTGTCAGGGATTGGGGCTTCGGGGTTTTCAGCTTCTTTCTGAAGGCTTCTATGTTGCATCATTGGTTCCGGGACCCTAAACCCTGTACCCTGCACCCTAAACCCTAGACCCTAAGCCCGAAACCCGAAACCCTAAACCCTAAACCCTGTGGCCTCTGAAGCCTGCAAGCCGAAAACCTACGGTGTAGCTTCATGGAGGGTGGCCGTGTTTGCGAACGTAAACTTTGGGCAGTGCCGCGGGGGCTGGTGTGTATGTCCCCTTGCAACAGAGTCAACTGTCACATTCGACACGGTGATCAATCTACACTATGGCCATCGTAATATCTGCCGTAGTATGCAGAGTAAAACCTGGCACTAGAGCCGATCGCCCAAGGATGCAGTCAATCATCTCATTGCATGGATGGAGTTTTCCAAGAATGCGACTTTGCTTTTCAGACTCTTGCAATCTGACTGCAATGCGGGTCAATTGGGTTTTAAGGTCCCCAGCCACAATGTCACCGCCTAGCCGTAAAAGTACTTTTGATTGTGCAAATCCATTATCTTAGCTGGCATTTCACTGGCCAGAGGATGTTCAAGACACCTGGCTAACGAGACTGCGGCTTTGCCACCCCTAACGTCCTTAGGGCTTTAGGGTTTTCGGGGTTTAGGGTTTTAGAGCTTTAGGGTTTAGGGTTCAAGGGCTTTAGGGCTCAAGGGTTTAGGGTTCAAGGGCTTTTGGGATTAGGGTTCAACGAGTTTTGGGTTTTTTTAGGGTTCAGTCAGTGGCTTTAGGGTAAGGGTTCCCGGCAGGGCCCCAGACCGAAGCCCACATGAGCAGCTGACTTCTCAAGTGGATCTTTTTTTCGGTCCAGCGTTCTCTGTTTGAAGCATCGCGGAGCGATGGCACTAGTGCATGACAGTGAGACTGCATGTTGCAGCTTCGACAGCTGCGCGACTGTTGGGCATGAACTCCATGCTTCGGGCTCATTGACGTGCGTCGCGGCAGTCGCCGCGCCTTTCCGAGATTCAAGCAACTTCACGCATTTGGCTCAAGTTCTGCCAGTGCTGCAGAAATCGAACGCCGTACTTGCGACACATACCCTTAACACCGATGCATCTACCAGCGAGCATGCTGGTGTGCCAGCAATTAAAGCAAATCACCACAGCGATCTGAAATTTTTCCGTGGTCCCAAAAAAAAAAGTGGCCCCGCGAAAGCTGGCGGAGCCAGGAAACTTGCAAGGAACAACACGGCAACCTAAACCCTAAGCCCTAAGCCCTAAGCCCTAAGCCCTAAACCCTAAACCCTAAGCCCTAAGCCCTAAACCCTACCCTAAACCCTAAACCCTAAACCCTACCCTAAACCCTAAACCCTAAACCCTCAACCCTAAACCCTAAACCCTAAACCGTGCAGACATTCACCCCGTCCTCTTCCCCTCCCCCCTCTCCTCGGGGTGACAACGATGTTCGACGTCGACAACGTGTGTGGAACAGCGCCGACAAGAGCCAGCGGGGCCAACGAGTAGCGACTGTTCCGTTGTTACAAGCAAGGCCTCCCTGGGCACTTCAGAATCTGCAGCAAGCGCAAGAGATTGGCAGACATCTACAGTAGACTTTAAGCCTTGAAACATCGAGAGGCTCGGGGCAATGCGTTGTCCTCAATCTTGAAAAACGATCCAGTTCCAGAATTAGGATGCCGCCGTGAAGCCCAAAAACAATGCCACCACATCTGGTCTCTGCACTAGACCGTACTCCTGACAGCGCAGCTCGCCCAAAGCTCTAAACCACAAACACCCTCAACCCTCTTGAAGGGTCCTCGCCGCCTTTGGCCGATGAAACAGTGTCACGTGATAGGCACCACATTCAAGTTTCAGTTGGCTTGGAAACGTCACTTCTTGACACAACATGCACGGGACCCTGCACCCACCTCCAAAATTTGCTCTGCAGCCACCAATGCTGCAGTCCTTGGCATTTGCGCGGGCTCATCTCACACTCACAGAGATGCACTCTTTTGGGGGTTAAAGTTTGAGGGTTTAGGGTTAAAGGTTTACTTGTTGTCTTGCATGTTGTTGGCTTTAGATGCTTTATAGTGAGGCATTTACAGGATTTTTTTGCAGCTTCTAGCGTTTCGGGGTTTAGGATGTCCACTGAAGGCTTGACGGCTCCAACGGAGACTTGTCTGTATGACCTGAAACAGCAGAAAGCAGGAACACGTCACGAGGCCTGAGGAGAAGTGGCCAGCAGAGCGTGTGCACAAGTGCACATGGAGCATAGCCATTGCGTTGGCGAAGAGGGAAGGGCCAGCTGAACTTGTGACATTATTGGGCTGGCGAGGGGGCGGCGTGAGACCTCACTGCCGTGAGATTTCTGCGTCTGCACATGGAAGTCCTAGGGCAGCAGTTGCGCTGGTCTCGTCAATTCGCACGGGCGGGCTCACAGGGTTCGAATAGCCGCCTGGGAAAGCTGCGCCCTAAACCCCAATAAGGCCTTGGTCGCCTGTCGTGTCCGCCCTGCCCCCGCCCCCCCACAGGCCAGGATGTCGCTGAAAGCAGTCCTGCGCATCAATGGTGTCGACATCCACGCTCGGCTCAGAAGGGTCGAACATGCCTGACTTAGAGTCTTCAGCAACCAACAGCCGTAGCACTTGCGCGAGATAAACCAGAGTGACCTAGGTCTGCTGCTGTGTCGACGATGATCTCCGCCCGGATCGGCTGTCCTCTGGTCGCAAGCGGCCGACACACCGTGGTTGTGCGGCTACAGGCTGCTCAGCATTTGCAGACCGGAGTCGCCGCTCACCCAGCCAACGCTCCGTCCAAGTGCGTCGATCTTCATCTGTCATATCTCGCCACTGTCGCTTGATGCCACGGACCAGCCCCTTGACCTCCTGCTTGCCAAGACTCCTGCCGGCTGAGAGCGCATTTGTTTTGGCCAGCGAGAGCTGCAAGTTCTGGTAGAACAAAAAGGGGTTCGCGACGAGGCCAGTTGGCCGCGTTCCTTCTTGATCTTTTTGACAACCCGGCGTGTGCGCAATCCTGCCCTCGCCATGCTGTCTGCCGTCACCTTGTCGCTGACGACTCCCCCCCTGGCAACATGCTGTTTACGCCAGCGTTGCAAGGTACGCTCGAACTGAAGAAACTCGATGGAAAAGGCATTCCAAGCTGTCCCACGGCGAATTTGTTGGCACAAAGCAAGGTCTCTCTCACAGTTCAGCGACGTCACACGGTGTATCTTGGACAAGACCTCCAAGCTCCCCCTGAGTGGCATCTCACGCAAGTCGTCAGCAGATCGCATCTTGTTTTTCAAGACCCTGGTCAAAGAAGCCTTGGCACAGCAGTCTGGCAAAGCGAAGAGCTCCATGGAAACTTGCAGCTCCATAAGCGTGCTGTCCGCGACCAAGACTGCAAATGCACGTAGCGGGAAGTGCTGGTATTTCCGAAAGCGCAAGGACAGGTCTGCCAGCAGACCGTGTGTTTCATTGACTAGCCTGGCGGCGCTGCCATCCCAAAAGTCTCTTCCAAACTTCCGGCCCCACGTCTGGAGCTCGCCCAGCAGTGGCGAAGTTTCTGAAGACAGCATGCTGCACAGCATGCTGCACAGTTGATCCGAAGCAGCTTTCAAAGGAGACGACGCTGAGACCATGCGCAAGAGCAGAGGGCTCCCTCCCTGCTTGTCGTCCAGGCTGATAAACCGCACCAGTGCGTCCAAGGGCTCAAGGGCGGTGTGCCACATGGCCAGAAACGCCAAGTGGGCGCCCATGCTAAACAGGGACGTCACCTGCAAAAACAACTTGCTTGTTCGGGGGGGGTCAAGGTGAAGGGCGTCAAGCCAGGCCGGAGGAGCTCTAGGACTCTAGGCCTTGCTCAGACGCTTGGAATTCTTGGACTTCTCCGAGGCATCAACGTCACGTTTGTCCTCGGAGGAAGCCTAAACCCTAAACGGCCCTAAACCCTAAACCCAAAACCCAAAACCCTAAACCCTAAACCCTAAACCCTAACCCTAACCCTAAACCCTAAACCCTAAACCCTAACCCTAATAAACCCTAACCCTAAACCCTAAACCCTAAAGCCCTAAAGCCCTTAACCCTAAACCCGTAACCCTAAACCCTAAACCACGTGAGGTCTGTCAAGGCTCGAGCAACTGCGGCGCGGCTTCTGCCATGAGCTTGTCAACCGCGTCCAGAACGCATCGAGGCGCCCCACCTGGACTGGCCGCCGGGCTGGCAGCGCGCGGAGGACCCGATTCTGCACTGCCTCAACGGCAAGAGCCTGCTCCTCTCCGGCATGCCCGGGACCGGGAAGACGCGCCTGGCGCGCCAGATCGTGGCGCAGCTCTGCGAGCTCGGGGAGGCGGTGAAGCTGGTCAGCAAAACTCACTGCTCCGTGCAGGGCTTAGGGTTTAGGGCTTAGGGTTTAGGGTTCCCAGAAACCTGAAACACGCCCTGCTCGGGGCCCGCAAGTCCAGTTGCCTCGCAGCGCCATGGGCTTGGGTGGCAAGCCTTCGGCTCGAAAGTGATAAATATAGTGCCCTGCGTTATTAGGGTTTAATGTTCAGGGTTTAGGGTTCAAAAAGGGTTTAGGGTTTAGGGTTTAGTTCAGGGAGATTGGGGCCCAATGAACCGCAAGAACGGGGTAGGTTGTGTGGCTTCAGTCGGGCTTTTGGAGGTTCATGGGTACCTAGTTAGGAGACTACAGCTTGCCTAAGGGTTTGGGCTCGAGGCCTCATACGTGTCCTTTTGGCTCCTTAGATACCCTGTAGATGCCTCATCATCCTCCATCTGCCCTCTCAGTGCGCCGACGCGTAACCCCTACAAACCCAGGAAGCCCCATGGATACCTCCAAAACCCACATGCAGGAGCCCAAACAATCACCAAGACGATCGTCCGCGCAGACGGCGAAGAATCCCTACTCGAAATGTGATACAGACTACCCAACCCTAAACCCTAAACCCTAAACCTTATAAACCCTAAACCCTAAACCCTAGAGCGCGCTCAAAGGCTGAAGAGGCTGAGGGAAACCGTTCAAAATCCTGAATTACCCGCCCAAATCCTGAACCCCAAGCCCTTCGCCCGACCCGAATTCCTAAAGAGACATATTGAAGATAATCAAACCTAAACCCTAAACCGTACTGGTGCCCACGCAAACCCCAGGCACTTCTGGCCTCGCAGCACTCGCCCCGTGATGTCCAGGCCTGGGTGTTTGCTTAAGAACAGCGCCCAAACCAAAACTCCCAAACTTAAGGAACCTCTAAACAAACCCCAGCCCCTCCTACCCCCCCCCCCCCGAAAAAAAGGGGTGCTGCTTAAGTTCCTTAAAGCCCAAACCCTCCACCCCTTGCGTAGATCCCGAATCCTAAAGCCCATCACCCCCTACAAAGCTACACAACCCTCCCGAGTCCTAAACAAAGACCCATAAAAGCCCTTAACTTGCTAACTCAAACCCCAAACCCATATCCCAAACCCGAAACCCTAAACCCTAAACCCGAAATCGCGCCGCAAAGAATCCGGTCTTGGATCCCCTCCTCAGTGGCTCAGGGGCCAGGGCTTATGGTTTGGGGGGTTTGGGGTTTGGGTGTAAGATTTCCAGTAGTGCACTGACTTGGCTGGACCTTGGGTTGCCATAAGAGGTTATGTGGGTTCGGCTTAGGGTTTAGGGTTAACCTTAGGCTATCACATGGTCTAGATGAAGCAGCCGTAACCCTGAACCCCAATTATGTGTCTTTTTGAAGCGTGTTTACGCTTAAAAGCTGCTTCAATCCGGCTGTCAAGGTTTTGGGTTCTGAGTACCCTAAACCCTGAACCCGAATTCCATGCACCCGAAATCCTAAACCCTCACTCCTGCAAAATCTGGGTTTCAATCTCAATTACTTCCCCCCCCCCGGTCCTTGAATAGCTGCAACTCACAAGCTCACAAAACCAAACCCCAAACCTGAAACCCTAAACCCTAAACCCGAAATCGTGCCGCGAAGAATCCGTATGTCTTCCCTTGACGGAAGGGGCTGGGCCGCCCAGTCCACGTGCCAAAGGTTGGCCTGTCCGCATTACGCTCGGACTTAGGGCTTGGGGCTTTGGGCTTAGGGCTTAGGGTTTAGGGATTAGGGATTAAGGGATGGGACATGCAAAGCAATACTCCGGGCACAGGTAACCGATACTCCATGGATTGCTGCTGGGTGCCCACTGCAGAATGGGGCTCAGATTGGTCTGACAAGGGCGTGCCAGGCCTTCAGCCCAAAAAGCCGTAAGCTACCCCTGTAAAGCCAGAACCAAAACCCAGGCAATCTCAAGAAGAAGCTTCCATCCGTACCCACTTTTTGCTGCAATGGCTTCCGTCTCTGAGAAGCTGCTCGGGAGGACTCCCTCGTTATGTCTGAGGGTCGTGTCATTCAGGGTTTGCTGAGCTTAGCAAAAAACAAAACTTGTGAAGACTGCGGTGGCCTGATACCCAACCAGTGCCAGGAGACCATGAAGTGCAAAAAACTCAAAGAGGGCTCCACGGTCAGCCATCTGTTCAGCGCGGGCACCTGACGCGCAGTCACTTCGGAGAAAAAAGAAACCCTTTTACACATGCCCGCGCACACTATCAAATTTCCAAGTCAGGATTGTTAGAAGGTTACAGCCGGGAAACGCAGGGGAGCGTGAGTTCGAAGACCTCGGATATGGTGGCGAGGAGCTTTTTGAGATGCTTCTGCCGCAGATCTTCCAAAGGCTCGGAAATGTCGTCGGCCTTTACATACACTCGTATCTGATGGCTTCGCCAGTCGCTCGGGTCCAGAGTCAGCAAGTGCTGCGCCAGCTCCTCCATCCGCTCCTGCACGCGACTGCGAGCTGGGCTGTTCTGCGTGCCTTCCGCCTGCAGCTGGGATTTGTAGGGCCGAAGAAGCGTGCCGGCCGCGGTCATGGCAGCAAAGGCAGTCCATGCGTCAGTTTCCTCGGGCAGCTCGTTGCACGGGACGAGCTTAAAGTTGGCTTCCACCAAGTGCAAAAAGGAGTTGAGGAAGAGCTGGCGGTACCGGAGCTGCTGCAGCAACTTTGCAAAGCAATGCATTGCACCGAGCGCTGCATGCATCTTCAAAGCCGGCTCCATGGCCAACGTAAGGGTGTGGCAGTCACAGATATGGTGGGTCACGCCGATGTTGCCTTGCGAACGCAGCTTGACGCCCAGATGATACGCGTACCGGATGTTGGCAGAGTGGCCATCTGAAGTCAAAGACAGCAAGACTAGGTCGTGCTTCTGGGCCAACGTCTGGACTCCTTCCACGCTGAGACTTGTGAATGCCCGGCCCAAGCCAGCTGCAACGCATTCTGCTGTATTTCGCTCGAGGAAGCGCAGCTGGCTGATGCAGTGCAGTGCACTGGCGGCAGCTGTCGCGAGTCGAGCGTTGCCTGTCATGACACTAACGGACCCTCTGCACCTTTTGCCTATCTTGGCAGCAATGACGCCCTTCTCCGCCTCTGTCAGCGCCGTCTCCTGTCGCAACTTCTTGAGGGACCACTCCAGTAGTTCGTGTGAGCAGACAGCTGCCCCTGCACATGCCCATCCATGCTGCGAGACAGCGCGTGAGCGACCAATGCCTTGCAATTCAAGTGAACCCCAGAGGACGCGCTGCTCACGCTGCCTTTGCTATGATAGCCATATGGCAGGAAAGCCAGCGACGACAGCCGTGCACAGAGATGCCATTCTTCACTGCACGTGCTTCTTCTGGACGCGTGCCTGACAATATCAGGGTCTTGGACCTACCAGAGAAGGCAGGCTGTTTGGGAGAGGCCTTTAGGAAGCATAAGTTAGGAACTTATGCCAGTGTGCCTTCAAGCCGACGGACTCAATGGAAACGAGCAGCTACTGACCCACATTTAGGTCCGTTGGCGGAAGCCTCTCGTGCTGTGCCCACACCCCGCTCCGTAAAAAGGAAGCATCTATATAATTTGCACCTGCTGTTTACACACAAAGACACAGCGCACCTTACATGGGTTCAGGGCCCAAACTTGCGGAGTACTAGTGGGCAAGAGTCGATCCTGCTCCTGCCGAGTTCGGGACTTTAGGAGTCAAGCTGTTCAGGGAGACCGAGTTCGGGGCATTAGGAATTAGGCTGTTTAGGGAGCCCGAACATGGGGGATCTGTCGCAGCGAGCATGGTGCATCATTTGACCGAGCCATCCCAGAACTTGACCATCTTGACGGACGCGGCGCGGGAATATTTCATATCCGTGCCGTGGAGGTTCGGGGCCGAGGCCGTAGAGCAAGCGGTTTGGGGGTGAAGGGGCGGGGGGGGGGGGGGCAGGCAGGGTCTGGAAAAGAGCATCATGACCAAAAAACTACCGCTTTCGTGCCCTGCAAAGCGAGCATCAAGCATCAGCACGCTTGGTCTGGGGTACTGAAATGGAGAAAGCATGAGAGCACTGAGCGCACCTGCCACTTTGACCCAGTGGCCTCGAAGACATCGAAGAGGACGCCAGCCTGGGCGCCCTCAACTTGAGCCAGGTTTAGGGGATTAGGCCCCCTTGCCCACTTTTGCATGCTGAGCCACGTCTTCCAGACAAGCGGGTCCATCTGGCCCAGCTGCTGGAGGCACAGCCCTCTGCACAGCATTCTGAATGGCCGCCGCAACGTCGCCGTCGTCATCAGACTCTGGAGGCTGCCCATGCAAAGCTGCAAGCAGAGCATCTCCATCGTCATCAGGCAACTCCATTCTAAGTTCTAAGCTACAGCTCTGAATTTGACGCATTGCTATAGAAGTGCCCTGTGCCACGCTTAAACTACTGGCTACCGGGAGCCTGGAAACCAATCGTTCTGGAAACATTATCGCCGCAAAGCAGAGAACCCTGCACTGCACGGCCTTTGAGGGTGAAACTGGCTGCAGAAAGATAGCTTAAGGGGCAACAGGTCTGATTTCAGAGCACGATTTATTGGAACTCATGCCCCTGCACCTGAACCAATAGCCCAAGACATTAGAATTGCAGCCGCCAGATTGAAAAACAGCAGCCCCTTGTTGCTTTAGTAGGCATATGCTCTGCATGGAACTGTCGCGACCTGGAAGGCACTACTAATGATTGGATACAAAGCGACGAAACGATTCTACTCTGTGTACTGTTGCAGAGATGCAACACATGAGATCACTCTTGAAAACCCCTGATTGAACTAAATGGCAACTGCTACAGATGACTAGCCGGCTCTGACTGTAGAAGAACCACGCAATTACGTGGATACAGTACCGTCCATGTCTGGGACACACTTTATCTTGGGATCTGCCGACCAGCCAACCACCACCGCCTAACGTAAACTGCTAGCAAGCTGCAAATGCACAAGGCAGGGTTTCTTAAGCCCTAAACCCCAAAGCCCTCTAATGTAGTGAGGGACTGATTGAAAAATGGCATCCTCAGCCCAAAAAGCCCAAACCAAAACCCTAAAGCCGTAAACCATCAAAACCCTGAACAGCTTATATACACCCTTGGAAGCTTCTAAACTCCAAACCCTAAACCCTAAACCTCCTAAACCCTTAACCCTTAACCCAAAACCCTAAACCCTAAACCCCAAACCCAAACACCACTTCAATTGTGCAATCCAGCTGCGAGGTCCCCGGCACCGTTTGGGCAACGGAAGCGCAACCACCCAGCCAATCATCAGCACCTGATTGGCCCCCTCAAGGGGTTATATAGGGTTTAGGGTTCAGGGTTTGGGTTTTAGGGTTTAGGGTTAGGGGTTTAGGGTTTAGGGTTTAGGGATTCGGGATTAGGGTTTCGGGTTTGAGTGAACATGGGCGTGAGCACTACACTGCACCCCGTACTTGAAGGTTCATAGTGCTTACTAGCCAATTATAAGTGTACTTATAACCCTACTTATGATACCCCTAAATGGCCTTATAGGGGTTATCCCGATTATAAGTAGGGTTATAAGCCCAGATATAAGTGGTTATTAAGTCCCATGAACCTCCAAGTAGGGAAGAGGCACTGATGGCTGGAACGAGGAAGTCAAACTGCCAGAGCTGCCAGTGGGCAGCATCGGCTGGCGCCAGCCTGAGCTTGGAAGGCTTAGGCTAGGCTGCCCAGTAACCAAGGCTTTAAAACGGGCGCCCTTTTTTGCTTAAAGGGGTTTATAAGGGAACCTAGACCTAAACCCCCCAAAAAGGGAATAAGGGTACTACTGGGCATCCTAGTAAGGGCTTGGGGTTTAGGGTTTAGAGTTTAGGGTTTACAGTTTGGGGTCTCAGGGTTTGGGGTTTTGGGTTTGGGGTTTTAGGGCATGGGGTTTACGGTTTTACGGTTTAGGGTTTGGGGGTTAGCTAGGGATTAGCGTTTGGGGTTGCTATGGTTGCAAAGCCCTCGGAAGTGTAAGCCTCACACCGTCCACCCTGAAAACCCTAAACCCTAAACCCTAAACTATAAACCCTAAACCCTAAACCCTAAACCCTAAACCCTAAACCCGACCTGCGACAACACCTCTAAATCCCTGGAACCCTCAACCCTAAGACCCCAAACCCGAAGTAAACCCCAAGTTACACTAACCCCAATCTGACCCTAATTACATCTCAATGAGAACTAGTTAAACCCCAAGTACCAACCGAATCCACAAAACCCCCAAGCAAAGCCCCAAACTTAACCCTAACCCCTAAACCCCTAAACCCTAAACCCCTAAATCGCTAACCCCTAAACCCCTAACCCCCTAAACCCCTAAACCCCTAAACGCCTAACCCCCCAAACCCTAAACCCTAAACCCCAAACCCTAAACCCTATACCCTATACCCTATACCCTATACCCCTAAACCCTAAACCCTGATCCCTAAACCCTAAACCCCTAAACCCCTAACCCCTTAACCCCTTAACCCCTAAACCCCTAAACCCCTAAACCCCTAAACCCCTAAACCCCTAAACCCCTAAACCCCTAAACCCTAAACCCTAAACCCTAAACCCCCGTGAGCCTCAGCAGCGACCGCTGAGCCTTGTGCAGCGGCTTGGCGGCGACGCCGCGGCTCAGCTCACACAGCGTCATCCCAGACCTCCAGAAGGTTTAGGGTTTAGGGTTTAGGGTTTAGGGTTTTTGTTTTGGGGTTTATAGAAATTGTATAGGGTTTGGGTCCTAAAAAGTTTTGACCGGTTTTTTTTTTTAAACTACGTTTTTAATTTTTTTTGGGGGGGGAGGGGGGGGAGGGGGCGGGGGGAGGGGAGGGGGGGAGGGGAGGGGGAGGTGAGGGAGGGGGGGGAGGGGGAGGTGGGGAGGGGGAGGGGGAGGGGAGGGAGGGGGAGGGGGGAGGGGGAGGGGAGGGAGGGGGAGGGGGAGGGGGAGGGGGAGGGGGAGGGGGAGGGGGAGGGGGGGGGAGGGGGGAGGGGGGAGGGAGGGGGGGGGGAAGGCTTTGGGCTTTGGGACAAATTTTGGGCTTTGGGAGCCAATTTTGGGCTTTGGGAAAGCAATTTTGGGCTTTGGGGGTCAATTTTGGGAGGCCCCACAAGTTTAAGTAAATTGAACATTTGGCCTCCCGGCCTCCGAATTAATTTACTTAAACTCTGTTTGTCAGCTGTTTAGACGAATATCTTGGAAAATTCACAATGATACCACATACAATTTCGATTTATTTTGTCTTGAGGGGTTTAGGGTTTAGGGTTTAAGCTTGTTGGGCTATGTTTAGGGTTTAGGGTTTTGGTTTTTGGGTTTAGGGTTTCGGGTTTAAGCTTATTGGGCTGTGGCTTAGGGATGTTTAGGGTTGACAGGTTTACGAGTTTCAGCCATGATGGACCTGCCTAAACCCTACACCCTACCCCTGTTCCTAAACCCTGAAGCCCTAAACCCTCAACCATAAACCCTGAACCCTGAACCCTAAACCCTAGACCCTAACCCCTAGCCGTCCGCAAGGATGCATGCACATAAATCCTAAACCCCGAACCCCAAACCCCAAATCCCAAACCCGAAACCCTAGTCCCCTAAACCCTAAACCCTCAACCCTAAACCCTAGACCCTAAACCCTAAACCCCAAACCGGCCTCCAGGCCGAATAGGCGGCTTTGGCCAGGGGCCGGAGGAGTCGACAAAGACAGGATCTCGCCCGGGCGCCCTCTTCTGCGCCTGGGGATGGGGATTTAGGGTTTAGGATTTAGGGCTAGGTTTTAGGGTTTAGGGTTTTTAGGGTTTTTAGGGTTTTTAGGGTTTAGGATTTAGGATTTAGGATTTAGGGTTTAGGGTTTAGGGTTTAGGGTTTAGGGTTTAGGGTTCAGGGTTCAGGGTTCAGGGTTCAGGGCTGTAGGGCTGCAGGGCTGCAGGGTGACCATTCTGCTTCCACTTGCCTCTGTGTGCGCTACATTGTCTGCAGGGGCTCTGCAACCCCCTAAACCCTAAACTGTCCTAAACGCTAAACCCTAAACCCTAAACCCTCCAACCCTCCAATCTCTCTCTTCGCCATCGCGGCACCACACGCGCCGGCCCTTCGCACCACTTGGCCGGCCACGTGTGCCAAAAGCAGGTGCCTTCCCCCAGCTCCAGCCCGCGCCGTGCCCTGCCAGTACCGCTTGATTGAGGAATCTTATGGCTAGTAGGGTTTGGGGTTTAGGGTTTAGGGAGGGTTTGGGATTTATGATTTCATTCATAGGAAGACCCCGTGTACAGACAGATTGCTGAATTAAGGGGTATTGGGCTTGCTGGGAGCTCGTTGGCAAGGGGGGGAGGTTCAGGAATTGAGGTTTTTTGGGACCCTGAACCCTAAACCCTAAACCCTAAACCCTCAAGCGTTAAGCCGTTCGGCCCCAAGATTCTGGGGCTTGCAGCATTTGGCGTCTGAGTGTTGGGTATTGAGAAACAGGAGCCCATGACGGATTCCATAGCTACTTCGGGTTTACGGTCTAGGTTTAGGGTTTAGGTTTAGGTTTAGGGTTTATAGGGTTTAAGGGTTGAGGGTTAAGGGTTAATAGGTTTAGGGTTTCGGGCCACTATAGAGAACACTCGTACCTGGCACAGTGAGCAAAGATGTATCAAATACATAAATACACTTAATGCTAAGCCGTGTGTGTGTGTGTGTGTGTGTGTGTGTGTGTGTGTGTGTGTGTGTGTGTGTGTGTGTGTGTGTGTGTGGTGCGTGCGTGCGTGCGTGCGTGCGTGCGCGTGCGTGCGTGTGTGTGTGTGTGTGTGTGTGTGTGTGTGTGTGTGTGTGTGTGTGTGTGTGTGTGTGTGTGTGTGTGTGTGTGTGTGTGTGTGTGTGTGTGTGTGTGTGTGTGTGTGTGTGTGTGTGTGTGTGTGTGTGTGTGTGTGTGTGTGTGTGTGTGTGTGTGTGTGTGTGTGTGTGTGTGTGTGTGTGTGTGTGTGTGTGTGTGTGTGTGTGTGTGTGTGTGTGTGTGTGTGTGTGTGTGTGTGTGTGTGTGTGTGTGTGTGTGTGTGTGTGTGTGTGTGTGTGAGTGTGTTTGGTTTTGCATATCTATCTGTATGTATATACCACACACATATACATGTATCCACACATATATATATATATATATATATTGATTTATGCATTTTCGGTTTTATGAAGATATATACATATGCATCTCCCCCAAAGAGAGCGCCTGCTTTTAGAGGCAGCTCTGTAATACTACTATTTGCTTAAGAACACCAAAAGAATAAACAACAACACAATCCCTATACTATCCATAAAAAGAAGGAATATTTTTAGTTTTCTGGGGGTTCTTAACCTCAACCCTAAACACTAAACCCTATATAACCACCTTGCGGAGATGGGCGAGAAGCGGCACCAGCGGCCAACCAGAAAGCAAAACTTGCACCAGGTACAGGACCAGCCTCATTTAGGGTTTAGGGTTTAGGGTTTAGGCTGAATGTTGGGATGTTCCCTCTTATACGAACAGTCCTTAATAGGGATGATACTGCCCCCTAGTATAATCCCTATTGAGCGCTGTTAGTATAAGGCTCAACCCCCTAGCCCAAAAAAGGTTAACCCTTTTATGTGTAATAGGGTTATATAAAGAACTAAAAAGGATAACCCTTTTATGTTTTATAGGATTATATACAACTAAAAAGGTTAAAGGTTAACCCATTAGCCCGTAAGGTGCTCTGGAAGCCAGCGAAGGGTTTAGGGTCTGATTACCTAGGATTGTCGTGTTTGCAATGAGCCCAAAACCCTAAGGGTCCATGCACCTAATTGTTATATACTTGGGCCTTAAAGTACCTCCTATACAGGGACTTTAGGGCCCAAGTATATAATACCCTAAACCCTAAACCCTAAACCCTTAGGGAAAAAACATTGGAACATCCAAGCAGCTGTCTCCCAGCTCGGAGCACATACTTCTTCGCGATGGCATAGAGTGGTCGTTGCAGCTTGTGGCTCTCATTAGCTCCGCCTCAGGGTTTAGGGTTTAGGGTTTAGGGTTTAGGGTTTAGGGTTTAGGGTTTAGGGTTTAGGGTTTAGGGTGAAATCCCGAGGGCTTCAACGGCACGAAGAGCTCTGTGGCTTATATGTGACTCAGCTTATCAAGCCCGAAGACCTAAGCCATAAACCTTGCAGCCAGCACCGCACTAAACCCTAAACGCTAAACGCTAAACGCTAAACCCTAAACGCTAAACCCTAAACCCTAAACCCTAAACCCTAAACCCTAAACCCTAACCCTAAACCCTAAACCCTGAACCCTAAAACCTAAACCCTAAACCCACGCATCCAAGGTGCGATCTGTCGCGAGGCTTCCGGTGGTCGCGGCAACGGCCGCAACCACGGAGGAGATACGACCCACTAGGCATTCCTGTATAGGGTTCTTATGGGAGGGTTTAGGGTTTAGGGTTTAGGGTTAGGGTTTAGGGTCTAGGGTTTAGGGTTTAGGGTTTAGGGTTCTACCCGCAACTCTAACCCCTAAACACTCAACCCGAATCCCTCAACCACCCCAAAACCTTAGACCCCACAAATTCCCTAAAGGGTTCTGCTGTTGAGACATCCCCACCCTCGCAGACCCCGGATCCCTTTGTAGCCTAAACCCGGGACGCGACACCCTAAACGAAAACCCTGTAGAAATCAAAGCCCTGAACCCTAAGCTTGGCCCTAAACCCTAAACCCTAATCCCTAAACCCTAAACCCTAAACCCCAAACCCCAAACCCCAAACCCTAAACCCTAAACCCTAAACCCTAAACCCTAAACCCAGCTAAGGAAACTTGAAGAATACCCCCCTCTCAGAATCCCGTCCTCATCTTTGGTGTCTGCCAGAGCAAGCGCCCTGAGGAAGAGACCGGAGACCCCACGGAGGGTTTAGGGTTTAGGGTTTAGGGTTTTAGGGATTAGGGTGTAGGATCTGGGTTTCGGGTTTGGGGTTTGGGGTCAAGCGACGAAGAACTTTCAAGTGGCTCATGTGTCCCACATGTCCTAAGAGCCGAAGCCCTAAACCCCTATATACTATACACCTTGAAGACCCTAAACCTACTATTATAAACCCTACACATCCTATGAACCTAAACCAAAAAGATGCCTCAACCCTAAACCCTCAAACCTCAACACTAAACCCCTCAAAGCCCCCCCCCCCCCCCGCCCCCCCCCCCCCCCCCCCCCAAAAAAAAAAAAAAAAAAAAACCGAAGCCGGTAGGATCTCCACCCAAAACCCCCCAAATACCCCAAAAAAACCCAAAGCCGGTTGGATTCTCAAACCCTACCCCCCCCCCCCCCCAGTTCCCCCAAAAAAACCAAAGCCGGTTGGATCTCCTGGCTTTTTGGCCCGCCGAACCCTCAACCCTCAACCCTCAACCCCAAACCCTCAAACCTCAAACCCCAAACCCCAAACTCCAAACTCCAAACCCGAAACCCTAAACCCTAAACCCTAAACCCTAAACCGCCTCGCCCTGGCCGCGCCGCGCGGCGCCGGCGACGGGCAGAGCAGGGGGTCTCCCAGTGCAGCGCAGAGTCGCTGGGAGACCTTTTATTTGTTTTTTATTGATTCTTACTACTAATATTGCTATTACTATTATTCTTATCATTTTTACAATGATTACTATTCAGATTATTAGTATGGCTCTTACTACAAATATTACGATTACTATTA